GGAGGGGGAGGAGGAGGAGGAGGGGAGAAGGAGGGGGAGAGGAGGAGGAGGAGGAGGAGGAGGAGGAGGAGGAGGAGGAGGAGGAGGAGTAGGAGCAGAGCAGGAGCATGAGCAGTAGGAGGAGCAGGAGCAGGAGAGGAGGAGGATGAGGGGTGAAGCGAGGAGGAGGAGGAGGAAGGAGGCGGGGTGGAGGAGGAGGAGGAGGAGGAGAAGAATGATGAGGTGCTGAGCGGTAGCGGGGAGGTCTAGGAGGAGCAGGAGGAACGAGCAGGAGGCAGGGGAGGAGAGCGGAGGCGGCGGCGGCGGGTGGCGGCGTTGAGGAGGCGGAGGAGGAGGAGGAGGAGGAGGAGGCGGAGGAGGAGGAGGGAGGACGGGAGGAGAGTGAGGCGGTGGAGCAGGAGGAGGAGGCGAAGCAGGACGGATGAGTAAGAGATGGAGGAGGAAGGAGGAGGAGGATGAGGAGGAGGATATGGAGGAGGGGGTAGGAGGAGGAGGGGGAAGGAGGAGGAGAAGGAGGAGAAGGGGGAAGGAGGAGGAGGAGGAGGAGGAGGAGGAGGAGGAGGATCAGGACCAGAGTGCAACCCCAAGAGACGTCAACGATGTTGGAATCAACCTCCCCCCAAACTCCCTCTTCATAGGCCCCTACCATGGTTCATTTTCAGAACTGCCTCGTTGGAAGACAGCCGTTTGAGGACCCTGAAGCATGCCAAACCATCATTCTCGGGTTTCAACGCCGCGGATCAACTTTGTCTTGACGATCTTGAATCGTGCCAGAGAGCCCCTCTTGGGACTTCAACCCCGCGAATCAACGTAACTGTTGCATCCTCATGATCCTGAACCGGTCAAAAACACCACTTCTGGTACGCTGACCGAGGGAGTCCGTGAAACTCTTGCAAGTTGACACATATCTCTCTATATATATAGGTATCTACATACATATATATATATGTATACAAACGAAAGTGCGCGGCGCTAGGGCGATATCCACATGTTCGACAGGACACCCCTCAATTCGTGAAATTCTTGCAAGTTAGACAATGAACGCACGCGGCGCGAAGGCGAGAGCCACAAGTTGAAGCGGAACCTCAATCAGTGAAGTTCGTTGCAGACTGCTAAAACGAATGTGCACGGAGGCTGAGGCGAGAGCCACATTTTGAAAACAACCCGCCCTCAATCCGTAAAGATCTTGAAATGTTTCAATCGAATGTCCACGGCGCCAAGGCGAGAGCCACATTTTGAAAGTCACCCGCCCTCAATCCGTGGATGTCCGCGTCGCTAAGGCGAGATCCACATGTTGAAAAATAACCGCCCTCAATCCGTGAAGCTCTTGCAAAGTGTTAAGAACGAATGCACGCGGCGCGAAGGCGAGAGCCACGTTTTGAAAACTTCCCGCCCTCAATTCATGAAACTCGTGCAGCTGTTTCAAACAAATTTGCGCGACGCTAAGGCGAGAGCCACATTTTGAAAACCACCCGCCCTCAAACTGTGAAATTGTTGCTTCTGTTTCTACGTTTCAGGGGAAACGCCCAGCCCCCCCTAGAAACTGGTTTCGGGGCGCGACAGGGAGAAGTTATGTATATGGAAAGGGAACGGAGGAGAAGGGGGAGGAGGAGCAGGAGGAGGAGAAGGAGGAGGAGGAGGAGGAGGAGGAGATGGATGAGGATATGTAGGGGAGGAGGAGGAGGATATGGAAGAGGCGGAGGAGGGAAGAGGCGGAGGAGGAGATGGAGGAGGAGAAGATGGAAGAGGCGGAGGAGGAGGAGGAGGAGGAGGAGGAGGAGGAGGAGGAGGAGGAGGTGGATGGACTGGTGCGCCCCCGGACGCAGGCGTGCCCCGTGCCCCGGCGCGGCGTGCGCACGGCCGCGCGCCGCGCGGCGCGCGGCGCGGCCTGCTGCGCGGCCTGCTGCGCGGCGGCGCTCGGAGCGCTGAATGCGCGGTGCTCGGGGCGCGGCGCTGCCGCGTGGCTGGGTGCCCCCCCGCGGCTGTGCGAGCCCGCGTCCCCGCGGGGATCGGGGGCGGCCGCCGTCTTGTTTCGGGAGCCTCGAGACGGGGGTCCATGCAAACGGGGTCAGCCACGGCACCGGATCCTGCAGGGTCCTGCGATGACCCCCTCTGGCTGACCCGGGTCAGCGAGCCGCTCGTGGCCGCGAGGCGGCCGCACACATTGACCGACCCGGGTTTGCGAAGACCTGCGTTGCAGTTGTTTTTTCCTGCATTGCAGTTGTTGGTGTCCTGCTCACCCAGGTCTGGATTGACCCGGGTCAGAAGATCCCCGATTGTTCGGGCAAGGGGATGGACCACAGAGTTGGTTCACCCCCAAAACTGACCTTCTCGTCGAGTCGTGCGAAGAGCGGTAGTAGATCTACAAGCAGCCTTCGCATTTCTCAGGGATTCGGCGCGCAAAGCAAGTTGGGGGCAAGTCGAGTGTGCAGTCGATCCCCATACTCGGTTCGTCCCCGCGGGGGTGGGCTCCGCTGGACCTTGAGCTTGGTGGTCCTCCGTCGGTGTGGCGGCCGCTGGGGGTTGCCCGCGTTTGTTCCAGCGGGGGTGGACTCCGCCCGACCTTGCTCCTTCGTCGGAGGGGCTCGGTCGAGGTGGGAGCCCGTCCGGGCCTCGGTTGGGGGGGGGTGCTCGTCGCCGTGGCGATCTGGCGCGGTGTGCGGCGGTGCCCGCGGTCGGCGACTCGCACGGGGGCGAGAGGCGCTCCGAACTCTGGGGGCCGCTGGGCGCCCCGGGCTGGCTCTCACCACCCACCAAACCACCCCAACCCAACCCGAAGGCTCAGATTTATCCTCGATTTCTAGTGGGGGGGGGGTCGGGAAACGTCGAAAAAACACATGTGGAAGCCTTACCCCCCCCCAACCCGAAATTCGGGTCTTCGGGTTGGGTTGGGGTGGTCTGGTAGGTAGTCAGGCTCGTCAATCCGGGGCTCGAGTGCAACGGTGGATGGGCGCCGTCGTGGGCCGCGTTTTCGCTGTCTGAGCTCGTGCCCCACCCAGAGGCAGAGCGAGGGCAGAACGGGGGGGGGCGAAGACAAGACGAGGCGAGAACGGAAGACACTGTTCGGCTCGGGCCTTGCGTCGATCTGGAGGAGGGGCACCCGGATCTCCGCCGATCGTCGGTTCGGACGTTCTCGTCGAGTCTCGGCTGCGTCTCGCCGAGAGCGTGCCAGGGGTGCTCGGTTCGTCCCGGACGGCCGCCATCGATCGGGGGCGGAAAAGAGGGGGGTGATGACTAGGAGGGGGTGGATATCATGGCGGGGGCCATGAAATCTCCCCAGATTTCATGGCGCCTCTTCCTATTTCATGACGTCCCTGGCCCCCCCGCTGGGCCGCGCACATGCCGCAGGTCATGATTTGCACCCCCCCCTCTTGGCCGCTCCCGAATCGAAAGGCGGATAAGGCCCAGATTTCCGACGACAGGTGCTGCTTGGTCCGGGCGTTCTTCGTCGGTGCCGGCTTCCCGGGCCTCGTGTCTCGGGTCCCAGGGCCATCGCGCGCAGGCGCAGGTGAGGCGCTGGAGCTCGGATCGTCGGGGGGGGGGGTGAGTTCGCCTGGAAAGTTTGGCGCGGCGCCCCGGGCGTGGATCTTGGAGTGCGGCGGTTGGGAACGGGCTCGCGCCCCGGGGTGCGAGCCCGCGTTCCCGCGGGGATCGGGGGCGGCCTCTGGGGGCTGGCCCGCGTTTGTCCCCGCGGGGGGTGGACTCCGTCCGCCCTTGCTCTTCTGTCGGAGGGGCCTGGTCGGGGAGGAAGCCTGTCGGGGCTTCGGTCTGGGAGTTCCTCGTCGCCGTGGCTCTCCGGCGCCGTGTGCGTCGGTGTCCGCGGTCGGCGACGCGCTCGGGGCGAGAGACGCTCCGAACTCCTCTGGGGGCCGCGCCGTCTTCCTTCGTGGTCTCCTGGGGGCCACCGAACGGCGGCGGGGTCTCCTTTGAGGCCGCTCCTATCCTGGTCCTCCTCCTCCTCGTCCTCTTCCTCCTCCTCCCTCGTCCTCCTCCTCCTCCTCCTCCTCCTCCTCCTCCTCCCCCTCCTCCTCCTCCTCCCCCTCCTCCTCCTCCTCCTCCTCCCCCTTCCTCCTCGTCCTCCTCCTCCTCCGCCCTCCTCCTCCTCCTCTCCTCCTCCTCCTCCTCCTCCTCCTCTCCTCTTACTCCTTGTCCTCCTCCTGCTCTCCACGGAGAGGGGACCTCGACGCCCCAGGCTGCCCCCCCCTGAAACAAACGGGGCTAGCATCCATATGTTTCCCTAGGGGCCCTACCCGAGTTTCGAATCCCCCGAGGGGGGCGCTCGAGACCATGGACCCCCCAAGGGCCTTTTACCTTTATACCTTTACCTTTACCTCCCTCCTCCTCCTCCTCCTCCTCTCCTCCTCGTCCCTCCTCCTCGTCCCTCCTCCTCCTCCTCCTCCTCCTCCTCCTCCTCCTCCTCCTCCTCCTCCTCCTCCTCCGCCCCCTCCAAGCGCCAGCTCTGCCTCGTCCCAGAGCCTCCGAGCCCGTGCCAGGGCGCCGTGGGGCCTCTCGCCGTTCTCTTCTCCCCTGTCGCCACCGCGGATAGCATGATGGGCTTGTTTTCCACCACCACCACCATAAGTTGGAGGGGGCAAGGAGGAGGAGGAGGAGGAGGAGGAGGAAAAGGGGTAGGAGGAGGAGAAGGAAGATGAGGATCCCCTGTCCCTTCAATTGAAGATGGAAGTGGTGGAGGGGAACGGGCCCATCACAACAGTCCGCATGCCATGGGCCTTGGCCCAGCTCGGCGTCCCCTTCGCCCCAATCGGTCGACCCAGAGATCCAGCGCATTGACAAACTCAAGACGGAGGTCGCTCGCCGTTTTCAGCCTCTGGAGGCCTTCGCCGGGCCCCGAGACCGTCATACAACGACTCAGGATGAAAAGCCGGTCCCGGGGAATGGGTCGAGACCTCCGGGGACCCCGTGTTGAAAAAAACACGACGTCGGATCTCTGGGGAGCCGCCCTCCACCTGCGGTCGGCGTTCGGCAAGATCGTGCGCCAGCGTGGGCAGCAGCTCGCCGCGTTCGGCGCCGCGCTGGGCAAGGCCCTGGCTGCCCGTGGTCCTGGCGGAGCCCTGCTGGTGGAGCCGACGGAAGGGGCCGACGGAAGGGGACGGAGCCGCCGGAGCTGCTGGTCCGCTTCGTGGTGACGGCGATGCCGACGCGGGAGCTACAGCAGTTGGATGACAGCCCCAGCCGCCTCGACATCTCGAAGACGTCCGTGGAGGCTGTCAGGGAGGCCGCGATGCTGTGCGCGGAGGAGTTCGAGGCTGCCCCCGCCGTTGCCGCCGCAGCGCCGAGGCCGGCTTTCGCCTTCTCTGCCGGCGTCGTGGGAGCCCTGAGGGCGGTTTTGGCGGAAAGGACCGGTGGAGGCACCGTTACCGAGCCGTTGGGCGAGCATGCCGCTGGCGGTGCGCCCAGTGGTCTCGAAAACGACGGGCCCCTTCGGGGGATGACTGCCCTGCCGGCTGATGCCGAGGCGGGCTGGGCAGGCAGCGCGGAGCGGGAGAGGCCCTGCGGAGGCGCGCCGCGCGTTGCGGTCGCTACGGGCCGCGGATCGATTGGAGGGCGGTGCAGGCGGCTTCAGCGGCGGTCCCAGGTACGACCCCAGCAGACGACAAACAGAGCTGACCACATCGATGGCTCGGAATGGCGGTGCTCAGTATGGAGGAGTGATCGCCAGACTTTTTGTCCTGGCCCGCAGTACTTTTATCAGTCGTGGGTTACTGCATGTTGTTGTTCGTTGCACGGCCTTGTGCAAGGTGTGGAGCAGGAGCGAGCCCACCGGTTGACGTTGAAGTTTCTGCGTGGTCGGCAGTATTTAGTGGGGAGGCGATCATTCGAGGTATCATCCAGTTGTTCCTTGGGCTTCTTTTTCCTGCCAGTCGTGTGCGTGTTTCCTCTTCACTGCAGTTCCTCTTCGTCAGCCTTGCCGTGTGATGCGAGGGCTGTGGGGGCAGGCGATGGCGTTCCTTTCGCGTGGTGGCACTTCGCGTCTGTTCCGATTCCGATTTCTCCTCCTCCTCCTCTTCCTCCTCGTTGTTTTGTTTGTTTCTTCTGTTGGGCTGGCGAACGTGAGCCAATGAGCTGGAGCGTGTCTCCTCTTCCTTCTCCTCCTCCTCCTGTTCCTCCTGTTCCTCCCTTTCCTCCTCCTCCTCCTCCTCCTCCTCCTCCTCCTCCTCCCCTTCGCCCTTCCTCCTGGCCTTCGCCTTCCTCCTTCATGGCCCGCTCGTCAAAGTCGGGGGCAGCGTCGCGGGACGGCGGGGGGGGGGGGCAAGCTCATTGGAGGACGCGTCGACCCCCAGTCTTGCGCTCGTGGCCAACAGGGGCCCGATCGCCGGTGGCCCCCACTTGCCCAGGAGCGTGCCGATTCGCTATCGGGGGCCTATAGCTGAGTGAGGATTGCCGCTCTACGGGGGGACTTTTCAAAAATAGCCCAACCATCGTACGAGGGCGAGCTGTTGATTCTGTTTGGTCATGTCTGTGTATTGTTTGACTCTTTGAAAAAAAACTGTTTCCCCCGAAGCCCTCTCTGTAGGAGGACACGCCCGACCCGAGCCTCTCGCCGATCTTCGCTGTGGGGGGCCCACCGCCGATGAATCGGCGATGCACCACCGAGTGCAAGTCGACGCCCCCCCCCCCCCCCCGAATTGGTTCCCCCTGTCATCTACCCTTCGGCTCGCGCCGGGGGCTCCACGATTTGCCTTTGAACTGCAAATCCGATGTCAAGCAGTGGCGAAGCGTCCTGGCTCGCCTAGGTGCCTGCCAAACGATGTGCTAAGAACCTTTTGTGGTTTCCGCGAAGTGTTCTCAGAACCTCTTCTGGCGGAGTCCGTCTTGTCTGAACACATCGGGGTACTGTTCTAAGAACGCTGTTTTGTTCTTAGAACATTTGTTGGGTTCCAGGAGCATGTCGTGGTAGGGCTATAGGAATGCCTGGACGGCCGGTCCCTGCTCGACGATGTGCTGCGATTCGCCTGGTTTGCTCCCCGCAGGTGGGTCGGAGAGGCATCGTCGAGCCCACAGAGGCCCGCCATCCCAGCGGGCCGCTGGCTCTGCCGCTGCCCACGCGGGGGTGGTATGGGCTTCCTCCTCACACAAGACTTCTAGAGGTCCTGGCGTCCTCCTCGTCCTCGTTTTCCTCGTCGTCCTCCTGTGCTCCTCTCGACCTCTCGATCCTGGTTCTGCCAGCGCTTCCGCCAGAGCTGCCAGCACGGCCAGGGGACCCTGCGTCGAGACGTGCTCGGGGCCGAAGGGCCTGGTGAGCAGGTGGTTTGTGGGACGCGTGGCTTGCCCGCACGCGCGACACGGAGGTTTAATTCGGGCACGTGCCTCTACAGGAGAAATATCCCAAACATAGTTTTTTATCAATAATCAGGGGAGGGTTGTTTGACTATTTTGGAATCTGTTTTGACAATTTTACATGTTTCATCGGACATCCGCCTGTAGGAGGACAGTCCCGACCTAATCCTAGACGCGAGGATTTCTCGGATCTGCGCCGGGCCACCCGAGCGGCGCCTCCCAGAGACGCGCCACGCGCATCTGGAGGGAGGAGGAGGAGGAGGAGGAGGAGGAGGAGGAGGAGGAAGAGGAGGGGGCGGCGCCAGAGGCGCCGCCAGGGGGGTCAGCGCGGATCCAAGAACTCCGCGCGGACCTCCGAGTTTTAATGCTCATGTCATGGCTTGTTCTCTTATTCCCCCCAACAATTCCAGCCTGTCAGGCGGGGGAAGAAGATCACCACCCACCAAACCACCCCAACCCAACCCGAAGGTTTTCATTTGCCTTCCATTTCTAGTGAGGAGGGTCGGGGAACATGGAAAACACACGTGGAATCCGCACCCCCCAACCCGAAATTCAGGTCAAATTCAGGCCTTCGGGTTGGGTCGGGGTGGTCTGGCAGGTAGGCTTAAGTCGGGCGTGTCCCTCTACAGGGGGGATATTCAACAACAGTCAAAAACTAGTCTGGGGACCACTTCTTGAGCATGTGTTGCTCAGTGTTAGGGTATGTTTTTTTATGTTTCGTCGAAAATCCCCCTGTAGGGGGACAGGCCCGACTTCAAGGTGGGCAGCAGACGCCCGAAGACGCCCCTACAGTGCCGTTTTTAATACATGCTCCGCGTGCGGATCGTGTATGAAACATGCAGGGATTCAGTTCCAAAAACAACGAGGAGGTCATGCACAAATTTATGCCTAGATTCGTCATGTATCAAAATCCCGTATGTTTAAACATCCCATGTATAAAAAACTGCCATGCAACCTCGGGCCCCGGATGGGCGCCTCTCCCCGCCGGCAGGTGCCCCCGCCCCCTCGCGCGCGGGGCGCGCGGCGGCCGGCAGCGCGGGCCGCCCGGCGCGCAGCGCGCAGGCCGCGCCGACGGCGACGGCGACGCCGCCCGCGACGGCGGCGACTTGCGGCGGCGACGACCCGCGACGATGGCGACGACTTGCGACGACGGCGAAGACTCGGAGGTGGACAGACCTCCTACCCTGACACGTCGATCAAGGAATTGGCCGTTTTCGGTTCGCGAGAGGGCGTCGCGGCCGTCATTTCTGCGGGTCCAGGTCCGTCGGTTTCGGTCCCAGGCCGTTTCCACGAAGGGGAGGTGTGCTGGAAGGGAGGTTTGTCCACCGCCGAAAGACGGCCACGGCGCCGAGGACGAGCACGGCGACGACCACGGCGGCGGCGGCGGCGGCGACGGCGGCGGCGGCGGCGACGATTGGCAAAGGCTCGCGAAGACTCGCGACGACGACGAGGACTTAGGAAGACGACGACTTACGACGACGACGATGACGACGAGGCGGAGACGGCGTCGACAACGACGACGACGATGACGACGAGGCGAAGACGGCGACGACAACCTGTCTTGGAGGCCCTCTTGGGCCGTCTTGGGGGCCTCTTGGGCTGTCTTGGGGCCGTCCACGGGGCTTCTGGGGCCGTCTCTGGACGATCTTGCGGGCCTCGTGGGCCGTCTTGGAGCGTCGGGAAGCCGAAAACGCCAGAATCCCCAGAACCTTCTCCCCTCTCGGAGCTGTTTCCTCGCCCTCCGCCGCCCCGCCCCCCCCTCGCACCCCGGTGCCCCTCGCCTCCGCCCTCCCTCGGCCGCCCCCCACGTCCCCCCCCCGGCCTGATCCCGATCCTGCCTGGCTGCAGTGGAGGCCCATGCCAAGAGGCGCCCTGCTTGCCTCAAGGGTTCCCTGGGTTTCTTCGGTTCCGATGGTTTTTGCTATGTAGAGCGTGGCACCATGGACGTCCTGGGGTCGCAGGGTGGGGTTTCTTGTGGAAGGTTTCTTGTGGTCGAGCTCCTTGTGTATCATCGGGGGACCTTGCCTGTCTTGAAAATGGCGGTCTTGTCTTGTGCCCGACGCGGGTCCGACGCGGATTCGACGTGCACTCGACGTGGATTCGGCGTGTGTTCGAAACGGGCTCGACACCGATAGCTGGCGCGAGGCGGCAGACGAGGTCCTCCGAGTTCGCAACATACAATATCGTGCCCCCGAAGGTCTCCATTCAGGAAACAAAAATGCGCCTCGATTTGTGGCGAGCCGCTGGATGTTCGGGTTCGGAGAAGGACAACGTGCCGATACCGCGACCCTCACCTCTTCGCCACGGCTGGATTCGCCTCGCAATCTCTGTCAGAACGCACACCAGAAGATGGCCGTGGAGTAGCGGTATCAGCATTGATTCTAGGTCATCCGTGGGGACGCGAAGAGAAACGTTCTTCACGTGTCGTGGTCTGGGCCAGAGCGGCTGCCCTTCTCCAAGGGGCGCCGCGAGGGCGCGAAGGTACAGTCAACCCGCGTAATAGGGATGGGCAACCTTCCCAAGGGTGCCCAAGGCGTCCTTGCCCCCTTCGGCCCATCCTCAGCGACCGTCGCTGGCCGCGCCCCGCTCGCAAAGTGTCGGCGTGGCCCGTCGCGCATCCCCGTCGCGCATCCCCGTCGCGCATCCCTGTGAAACCCGCCGAGCCTCGGTGGCCCGGGCACCTCTTTGCTCCCTCGTGGGT